GAGGAGTATTTTTTTCTGTGGAAACCATTTTGGTAAAAATTACATTAAAGAGTGTGTTTCACTGTTTTATAATTTCAAGGGACATAAAAGAATTTGTTGTAATATACTACGAAAAATATTTGACGCTCTATATAGTTTAAGAAATTAGTAGATTGAAACCAGAGACGGAATTTTCCTTTGACATCTAATCATGCATTATTCATTTGTTGGTGCACAGAAAAGGAGAAAGGAAGAGATCCAGAGGTTCCAAATAACTCCCATATTCGTAAAAATATTCCTCGGAATTATACCGCCTGTTATGAGGTTCTGGTCTCCGTCTACCTAAATTTGTTCCGCTACATGGGATTTGGTATATATACACGACCTTCAAGTTTCATTTCTTGCACTCCTCTTGTTATATCTAAAAGCCATAACAGGCCACATACACTATTTACAAATCGTGAATTATATTTGCTCAGTTTAGATTTTATATAAATGTAGGAGTTCACTAATCTAGTATTTAATCATTATAAAATAAGTTATAAAAAATTATGTTGCTCATGAGAGAATTTACTTGACAGAGAAGATAGTTAACAAAATAAGGGAGGAGAAAGAAAAACATGAATGGAGTGTTCAGATACTGAAAGCACTCATGGAAAAGCATAGTACAGCATACATTACCGAAGGAAGAGACCCGGGTAAAATAAGAAAGGTATTTGATCCGAGAAAGCAACAAAATGCACCAACGAATGCTCAAGTTCATCAAAAAGGTATAGTCCATTGAATTTTCAGCTGTTTCAAATCAATTAAACATACGATATGTATCTCTTCTGTACTAATGAATAAAGCAGGCACAAACATTCAATGTCCAGCTGTCAGAAATAGTATTGGGGGATGCATGGATGAATTTGAATATTATATTATGTATGTGCATGATATGGCAGGCAATGGTCAGGACTGAAATGAGGAGACAGAAACTTCTACACCCTTGTTGGCGGCAGCCCAGAAAGGCGTAATTGAAGTAGTGAACGAAATTCTAGGCCAACTACCGGTGTCCATCTACGAAACCACATCAAAGGACAAAAATATGTTGCAGGTAGCAGTGGAGAACAGGCAACCCAGGGTTATTGAGGCAGTGCAGAAACAAGTAAACAAAGAGCTAAAGCTTAATCTTTGGGCTGACCTCATTGAATCAGTGGATACTGATGACAATACTATATTGCACTTAGCAGCCAAGTTTGAAGAATCCAAGGTAGATCCTTGGCAGATTCATGGCACTGCCATGCGGATGCAATGGGAAATCAGGTGGTATGGGGTAATTTAACTTGCTATAATTAAGCAGGCATGTCTAAGTGCTATCATCACAATATCCATGTACTCTTTTGACGATGAAATTTGAATTATTATTGCAGTATGTGAAATCCTTGTTGCCACAACACTTCTTTTCCCTTAGCAATGCAAAAGACGAAACTCCGGAGCAAATCTTCACTAAAGGTCATGGAACTCTGGTCAAAGACAGTGGCGACTGGCTCAAGGATACGTCTGAATCTTGTTCGGTGGTGGCTGCGCTGGTTGCCGGAGTTTCCTTTGCAACGTCGAGCCAAGTCCCCGGCGGGACTAATGGTGACACTGGCAGCCGACCTTAGAACGACAGCCGGCATTTGAACTCTTCGCTATCACTGCGCTCATTGGGCTCTGCTTCTCTGTCACTGCACTGATCATGTTCCTTTCCATACTCACCTCTCGAAAACTACCCAGAGTTTTTAAGAAAAATTTGCCCCTCAAGATTCTTCTGGGCTTGAGCTCGCTGTTTGGGTCCATTGCCTCGATGCTTGCATCTTTCTGCGCCGCACATTTCTTCGTGCTCGAGGACAAATTTAAGACAGCAGTGTTCCCTCTGTATGCAGCCACTTGCCTTCCTGTTTCCTTCTACGCAATCGTACAGTTTCCACTCTACATGGATCTTTTGAAATCCATTATTACAGAGGTTCCCCAGTCACTCCCTTCTGGCCATGTCTGATTATATATTTTCTCTAGCGACGGAATTTCTTGTCTTTCTTTCGTTCATTTGTTCCCCTCCCAATTGAAACCTGCATTTTCTGATCTCCAATTTGTGCCTGTTTATTTATTATGGGAGATTATAAACCTCGTTGACGTGAGCAGCCTCAATGTAAGTGATTCGTCGTTGTTTTTGAATTAAATAAAGAAATCATTTGCGTGCTACTGTTTTTGTTTTTTCTCAGATACGATAGCTTGTATCAAACTTAATTTAAGCGACACATGAAAGGTAAGATTAAGGTAAGAAATTAACATTGGGTAATCTTAATTTTCTAAAATTAAGTAACAATGTCTTTTTTAAAACTACCCCCCTAAAAGAGTGAGTCAATTCTATTTTCTAAATACTTTAAGATAAATAAGGATATTTTAAGTAATTATGACCAATTTAAAAGGTCCTGTATCAGGGGTCTGCAGAGTAAATTATCCAACAAAAATGAACAATCGCCAAGCCGCCCACAAAAGGCTAAGTATTTTCACCAAATCAATAGCTATGAAGCAGTTAATTAATCACGATTTAATAATAAGATGCTTAAAAAAGGCTTTAGAAAATAAAGAAATGTTTGTACCCAAGCCTCTCTAATGGCAGGGACCATCTGATGAAGACGTGACGACACTGAGAGCAGCGGAAGTCATATTATGGTTCGTCCGTCGCTCTTTTCTTCAGATAATGCGTTTTCTTTTCTTAAAATTACAGTTGTGTTGAAAAATAAAATAAAATACGTTTTTCATATCAAATGCCATGTGTGTTTCATTATTTTGACATCGCAAACGGAGTCAATAGGATGAACAGCAAGGAGGCTGAGTAAAAAAATGAAAATAATAAATAAATAAAATTTCATGAAAGTATAATTTGAACTGAAGGAAGTACTTAAAAAAACAGCTGATTATCAACACAATGATAGATAAAAATTCTGTCATTAATCACATACTCTTTTTATAGTGAGTTATTTAATTATTTATGGTTCTGGAAAAAGTTTTGAGAAATGGTTCATATATTTTTGCCGAAACTGAAACGTAAAACTTACAAAAATATGCCTCGCATCATATGCCAAAAGTGAGAAAGCGATACAAGTTGATAAGATTAGATATGAGGCCTATTTTTTCACTATTGTTTATTCAAAAATGCGCCCCCAACCTTCCTCCTTGAATAACACAAAAGATGCATTGATTTTTTCTAAAGTGACGAGTGATTAAGAATTAAGGAATATTAGTAGTGATTAACAGAAATTTGGTCTATAAAAGGTGTCAGTTCATAAAGTGGTAAACCACAGTTTCAACCTTGTTAAATCACATTTAATACCCAACTTAAAAATAAAAAGGAAAGAGGAGAGAAAATATTATGCGTGGGGTGAAACGCATGGGTATATTTGGTTGGTGCTTTCCACAGGGCAAAGCAAAAGGTTCTGTCTAAAGTGAGGATGTCAATTTTGTAATTTTCAAGATTGCCAATTTGAGAGGGCAAAATGGGGAGGCACTTGATTAATTAAGCATGGATAATTTATTATATTAAAAAAGAGGGAAAAGAATTAAAAAGAATGAGTAGGGAGTAGGGGGCTTTTAAAAAATTAAAATATATATGCCATTGGAACGCACATTTGATTTGAGAATTGAGAATGATCCCTTGAGAATGAAAACACTCTTTGCCGACACACATGAATTAGAAGCCAGTTTAAACTACTTGCATATCCCAAAAAGAGTCAAATCAAACCCCACCCAGGATTTAGTACGGATGTTAGTCTTTTAAACTCAACACGCATTCGATTCTACATATTCCTTTTTTTTTTCATTTTAATACAGCCATTAAAGTTTTAAGGGAACTATACTGCCTCCGGTACTTTTTATAAGAGCGTAATAATTAAATTACACAGTTTAAAAAAACAGTTAAAATTAGTTAAAAATAATAAATATGTAAAAGAATAAACTTTTTTTCTTTACTTCTCGCAGTCGAAGTTATTTTTTTAAAAGGAAATGGCATTGTCTCTGACGAAATTGGAACAAATTAACTTCGGGGGAGGATGACATACGCTCGCATATATTCACAGCCAGATGTTCTTCCCACCTTTCTCTCTTGCTACGCTTTTCTTTTATATTTTTTTGATTTTCAAATAATTAAAAATATATGCCAAGAACCTTTAACTCAAATGACAGCTCACATAATAAAAAGTGGTGAGATTAATCTAATAGAGGGTATGCCGCGCGCGTGGGTGTGTGTCTTCCTTTTAAAAAAAAACAAAAAAAAGAAGAAGTTAGGTTAAATTTCTTTGAAAAAAAAATTGAATTGAGATTAAATTCATACTAGTTATGTGCACTTTTTTTTTTCGTGATAAGCTGTATTCACATTTTATTGTTAATTAACATGCCTATAACCCTTATAAACAGGAAGAAATTGTGTAGGGAGATTACTATTATGGTCAGGATCGAGCCATTTTTAGAATGTGTGTGCTCACACTTTCCGACGCGTATTTATTTGATCATATATAATTAAGGAATTATCAACTTAAACAGAATCACTAAGTTCAGTTGTGCTCAGATTATCTCTTGGTTCACCTCTGCAAGCTATGCTTAACACACTACGTACTATACTTTTGGGTTTATGCTTTACTATGCCACCACACTTTTCAAAGGGCTGGAGAGAATCCATCTCAGCCTCGTAGGCTATTTGATTCCAGGTTATCGTTGCTCATCACATTCGAAAGGGCAAGCAACGTGTTCCATATACATATGTATAATTATTAACTGATACAAAATGAAAAGATAAAAAGATATCACATTGCCCTTCCACAATATAATGAAAAGAGATTCCTCTGTACCGTACAGACACACATGGCAGCAGTTGAGAAGTATAAAAAGCGAGTTTTGGGAGCGAAGTGACCACCAGCTACTGCCACCATCTTAACACACACACATAGTCACGTTGTGTTGGTTTCGCGCATCAGGGCAAAATCCAACATATGTATTCTGATATGGATGTTCTGACGACGAGGCACAGTTTATACCATTCCACGCTTCAAGGTGATTGGCAAGAAGCTTTGGCGATATACAAAAACAATGTGAGTATTATTCACGATGCAGCGATCAACAGCTCCGGCGACACAGTGTTGCATACGGCGGTGAACGACGACAGAGGAGATATGGTGGAGAAGCTAGTAACGGAAATCCCGAGAAGTGGGTCGTTGTCGGCGCCGCAAAAAAAGAATGATCGAGGAGACACCCCACTGCACCGTGCAGCATCAAGAGGGTCCCTCGAGATGTACAAGTGCATCGCCGAAGCTGAAAGGAACACCCAACTGATTGAAGCTCGCAACAAGGAAGGAGAGACTCCTCTCTTCTTGGCCGCTCTTCACGGCCACATGGATGCATTCCTTTACCTCCACTCTTGTTGCCCCGATCCAAGTAGTCGCCTCTGGAAAAGATCCAGCGATGGAGAGACTATCCTTCACTGCACCATCCGCCCAGACCACTTTGGTTGGTTACTCCCTTATTCATTCATTTCATCTTAATCATTTAACTCATTTCTGTTCGCATTCTTCATATATAGGGTTGGCATTTGAAATCATTCGTCTTTACGGAGAGCATATAGTGGGCTCCGTGGATGAAAAGGGAGTTACTTCTCTCCATATCCTGGCTGAGAAACCTTCCGCCTTTGAAAGCAGCAGCAATTTCAGATGGTATAACAAGCTTGTCTACAACTGTAAGTACATCGATCGCTAGTTTAGGGGTGAAAAACTGAAGTTGGAGCCAACAACCATGAGATCCACTGGCCCCATATTTCTTTATTCTCTGTTTTTTTCCTTCTTTGACCTCTTTCTCTACCGGATAAGAGAGAGCTTAATTCATGAAAGGGGACCAAAAAAATTTAAAAAGAAAAAAGAAAGAAAGAAAGAAAAGAGAAAGAAACAAAGAACATAAGCCTCTTTACATGGATGTCAATTTGTAGAATTTTAATAACACAAATTAAAGCGTAATTCTTTGGCATCGTTTATATTTTAGAATACATACAATCTGCTAGCTAGATATATCGATAATTGAAGTATTTATTTATTTTCCTTTTGTGACGCAAGGCATTCACGTGAAGTCATTGAGGAGCCTCGAACAGTACCCAAAGAATGACCCATGGCTCTGGATAAAATCATCTGAAAGACAAAGAACCCAGACTGGCAAGTTCAATATAAATGAAAACATGCTTCGTATATATCTTTAGTTTGCTCAGTTTAGTCTTAAAGTATATATAGTTGCATGCAGTAATTAAGTAGTCTGTTGTTCCTTTATAATTAAAGTATCTTATGATCTGTTGTTCATGTTTTGTTGTACGCAGGAGCGGATGCAGAAAACCCAAGTTACGACGGATATGAAAATGTGTGGCCAAATTACTGGACATGTTTTGACATTTTCTCGCGTGCATTCACCTTTGTTATTTGGCCTGTCGTTAAAACCCTTGGTATACACTCTCGATCGCTACCTAATTATAATATTAGTAACTGACAGGCCCCGGCTTACTTGTGCTGATATAATATAAATATGTGTTAAGGTGTATTCAACACCTTCAGATATTTTTTTCAAGCATATTCAATACCCTAAAGTATCTAGTATTACATCCAGCATCCTAAAATATTTTTTTTAGTACATCCAAAATTTAAAATAATTTTTAGTGCAATTTTACATATAGCAATTTAGGGTATTGAATGCGTACATCAAAAAATAATGTGAGGTATTGAGTCCACTTGAAAAAATATATTAGGATGCTGAATGCACTAAAATATAACTTAAGATATTGGACGCACATGAAAAAAATACTTTAAGATGCTAGATACACCAAGAAATATTTTAGAATAATGAATGTACCATAAAATATTTTAGGATACAAGATGCACCATAACCTTATAATTATTTGTGAATCATGGTTTTAATTCTCTGTTGTTGACGGTACGCGTGGTTTTGTTTATATAAAGGATTTCGGGTACTAAAGGATTTGGAGATCAAGAAACAAAGGCACGTCTGGTGTCGCCAAATACTGGATCGACTTTGGGAGAATAAAGATGTAGCATACGTTGGAGGTGGAAGTGCCCTGCAAAGCTCTGCCTTAGTTCATGGAACTACCGGAGGAGAATCATCATTTCCCAGACCTAGTGGTCTGATCGTTGACAAACAAGGTTTTTAACCTTTAATTGAAATTTCCCAATTTCTCTGCAAAAGCAATGTAATTAATTGCAGGCCAAAAACAATATAGAACGCGAAGTTTCGGTCGTCGTATTACCATTATTGTGCTTAATCTGATTTATATTCTAATTTCTAAATAGGGTGCCACCAATTTATAATTTAATAATTGCAGTTGCAGGACAAATGATGAAACCAAATGATGATAGCAATCAGAATCAACAGGAAGGTAGTCGAAATTTCCGGATTTCTCTGCAAAAACTAGGTAATTAATTGCAGGCCAAAATATAGAACCTGAAGTTCAGGTCGTCGTATTATTCCTATTGTGCTTAATCTGATTTATATTCTATTTTTTAAAACGATCCGAAATCTAATCTCTACTTTATGAATTGCAGATAAAAAGACTGAGGAGGCTAAAATTGTTGAATTCATAAGGAGGCTTCAAAGAGACAAAGTGTTGGCGGCAGCACCTGCAAAAATAGTTAATCCGAGTCACGTCCTAAGGACGCTGTCCTTAAGAGCTATTCCGCAACCACCGGTAGATAAGGATGCGGCACTTCCCAGGATTAAACGGATCCTTCCTGTAAAACAGGGTGAGCAGAACAGCAGAAGATAGTAGTAAACTCAGCAAGTAAGAGAGCACACAAGAGGGGGAAGAAAGGAGCTCGAAAACTCTAGAGCTGTGTGTAACCTTAGAATGAAACACCCTTTTATAGGCCCCATATATTTTGAACGTTGGCAGCCTTCTTTTCACATTAAGTGGTCAGTTTTATAGAATTAAACGCATGCCATCAATTTAGGGACGTTGCAAAATCATGGACGTTGGGAGTGAATGGAGAATCCGTTCACTATTTCAAACATTCTTAATATATGATTGTTTAATGTATTAAATGTATTTGAATGGACCTAATTTCAAATTGCTTCAACCGTTTTTATTTAGATTGAAGGGACCGTAATAAAAAACCTGCCGTTTTTATTTGAAACCTTCCACCGTTTGATACACACAAAAATAATAAATACTCATTAAGAATTTTCAAACACCCAATCTTTAAGGCATTGAAAATCCGTTTATGATATTAAAACTCTACAATATTTGATTTTCCTATTCCTAATAATAATAGGAAAATCTGTCCATGATTAATGCTCAATTTTTATTTTTATCTTCCCACATTCCTAATTAATGTAGGATCCTTTCTTTGACACACCCAAAAAAATATTACAACACAAAGTACTGGTCTTCGCCTGATTACTGCCTGACTCCATTCTTTTTCCTTTCTTTGGTTCAATTCACTTTATCTGTTCACTGCAAAAGCTCGTGTAACTTCTCTTCCGTGTCTCAAATTAATTTTGTAACTTTCAAGATTGCTAGACTGTGAGGGAAGATGGTCAAGTACTTCAATACGTATAATTTATGAAGAGATCGAAAGAATTAAAAGAGAATCACACGACGCGCGACTTTAAAAGTAGTGTCGTCTGTACCCACATTTTGTATCCTTTGGATTTTGGAATGAAATTTTCCAACACGTAAGAATGAGAAGCTGGTCCGTTAAACTTTCCAGTTCAACTCGTTACAAGGACACGCGCACATACACCCTTTGCTTTTTCTTTTAATTATTATTTATAATCTTTTGGGCTTGATGTGGTTCTCCCTCGCTTTTCCTCTCCAGCCTTATCCATAAGATGTGAGTATTTTGTCCTCACACACACACACACACACACACACATATATGTATGTATGTATGCATATATAAGCGCGCTACTTAGGTAAGGCAAAATGCTTTTAGCTTTAATTGTTCTGGTCTAAAGACCTGAAAAGGTGCCTATCTTAGTACTACTTCCAAAGTCTTAGAATCCTACAAACTGGTCTAAATACAGATCAAAGATGTACTACTTCTGATCCTTAATATTAATATAAGAGTTTGTGTAACTTTTAAATGAACATGTGTTCGTGGATAACGTTGTTTGAAACTTCCATGTAATTTTAAATGCTGAGTAGCACTAATCCTACCTTTTTACTTGGCCTTAGTTTATAAGGAACTTATACCTTAATTAGTACACATTGAAATGATTAAAAAATAAAGACCTTTTAAATCGATATTCTGTAATATCTTGACATAGCTAAGTAGAAAAAATTAAAAAGAAATCATTTCAAAATTCAAGATAACAATATCAATGCAGCAACGCCACCGCCAGCGCCAAATATGCGACCCGTGGTAGAAGTTATTTTATGAAAACAACATAGCTACACTCAGAGTATTTAAATGACTATCGGGGATTATAAATGAGTTTGAATAGAAAGACAATCAGATAAATGGAAATATAAATTATAACCATAAAAAATATATGATATTCATTAAATAATAAAATTAATAAAATTAAAACGCAAATTCATGTAACTTCGCCTTGTTTTTAATTAAGTTTTATAATTTTTTCTTTTTCATTTTTGCTGAGTCCTTATAGTTTTATCAATTGTTAGTTTGTATACTCATATAATTTGTTAATTTATAAGAAAACAGTTGCAACTGATGATGATGTGGCTCACTCACCATACACATGGATTAATTTTGCCACTCTCATTTCCAATCCCATTCCCATTCATAATCTATCAAAACTCAGACGTGCATATAAAATTATTTGTATTATTGTGATAAAAATTTAGTTAGCAAAATATATTAAAATTAACGAATTTTTAGCCCATCAATTAAACTGAGTCCTAGTTCTTTAATTCCAGAATCTCGATGGAAGATCAAATATAATATTTCTGTGAATTCAAGTAGATTTAATTTGTCTTTGTAGTCTTCGGCCAAATATGTGTGTTGTGTGTGTGAAACACATGGGTATGGCTGCTGCTTTTTTCAGGACAAATATTCTGGTATCAACAAAATTAAAGCTCGCCAAAGTTCTCTCTCTATTTCAATTTTGTAACTTTCAAGATTTCTAATTGTGAAGGCAAGGTGATCGAGTACTAAATTAATTAGCCATAGATCATTTGTATTACCATCTCCGAGTGATTTGGTATTTACGATACTCTGCGTTACATTATTACTATGCACTTGCATGGTTGCAGGAAATATCTTTACTTTCTTGCCATAAAGCACGAAAATTCACATTCAATTAAGGGAAGGTGACAATTGAAAATTATATAAAAAAATGACCGTCGGATGATGCTTTTTTAATTATAAATATAGCATTCAAATAGTAAACTTAGAAGTTCAAAAATAATATATACACACGTTCTCATTTTACATTGCTTTTATTGGAGAGTCTTTATCTCCCTTTAATTAATGCCTTGAGTAGTTCAATTCCATCTCTTTTGGCTTTTGTGAGCCACAATCTTTTCTGCTTTTCCCTTTCTTCTTTTATTTTCTTCCCCTCTTTAACACTCAGACGTACGATTCATATAAGGGGCTTCCAAGAGACAAAAGAGCAGGGCTTCTCCTGATTCTTGCCTAACTCCATTCTTTCTCCTTCTTTTCTTTCAGTTCACTGTATCTGTTCACTGCAAAAGCTCGCATAATTTCTCTTCCGAGTCTCAAATTAATTTTATAATTTTCAAGATTGCTAGACTGTGAGGCGAGATGGTTAAGTACTTCAATACGTATAATTTATGAAGAGAAAGAATTAGAAGAGTCTCACACAACACGACTTTAAAAATAGTGTCCTCTGTACCCACATTTATATCCTTTGGATTCTGTATTGAAATTTTCCAACACGTAAGAATGAGAAACTGGTCCGTTAAACTTTTCGGTTCAACTCGTTACAAGTATACATTTATATATACCCTTTTTTTTTCTTTTAATTATTTTTTTTTCAGATGTGACATTTGTAATATTATTAATGATCTTTTGGGCGTGGCGTGGTTCTCTCTCGCTTTTCTCCCCAGCTTTATTCATAAGATGTAAGTATTTTGTCCTTAAGCTAAGATGCTTTTGGCTTCAATTGTTCTGGTCTAAAAACTTGAAAAGGTGTCTATCTTAGTACCACATCCAAAGATTTAGAATCCTACTAGTTGCTTCTAAATACAAGGCAAAGATGTGGTAGTTAAACTTTTTTTTCCAATAATCTTACTCCTTCTTAATTGCAACAAGTTGGAATTCTTTCAATTATTAGATAACATTTTGCTGTGGTAGTTAATTTTAAAATAATGAAGTTAATTAACTTGACAGTAAGTTTAGGATTAAAGGAAGTATATCTAATAAGTACACCTTATTTTTTTAAAAACCTTTATTCAAACTAACGCTATGTTCCGATCTCTACCTTTTTCATTTCCAAAGCCAACAAAGCAATCTGGCTTAGCATTCTCTCAACCCCTTATGCTGTACAAGATTTAAATTTAATTCATGGAGGGTAAAAGTTAAAGCGGCGAGAGAGTTTGGTATAAATTGACATGGATAGTTGTCAACGACGCAGTGGCTGTTGAACGTTATCGATCAGTACTGTGACCTTGTTCTCATCATTCATAGTGTATAGTTCTCAAACAAATGGGGTCTCCATCTTCATATTCCCAGGTAATCAGAGAGAGAGAGAAACAAATAAGCGAAGAGAGAGAGAAACATGATTCTGCTATGAGACAATTATACGAGCACACATTGCAAGGGGAGTGGAGAGAAGTAGAGAAATTATACAAAACAAAACCAGAGGTGTGGAGCGCAGAGATCACGACCTCCGGAGACACAGCTCTGCACATGGCCATCAACGAAGACAAAAAAGACGATGTGGCGAGCTTGCTGGATATTATACTCAAAGCCGACGACAGACATCGTCAGAAAAAAGTGGAGGCTCTGATGAAGGCGAATGAGGTAGGAGACACGCCTCTGCATCGAGCGGCCGCGAGAGGGTCCGTGGAAATGTGCAAGTCCATCGTGATGGCAGCAAGTAAACTGGGCGCGGATGGATTATTGCTCAGAGTTCTTAACAGATGGGACGAGAACCCTATCTTCGTGGCTGTTCTCGACAACCGTAAACATGCCTTCATCTACTTCCTCAAAGCTTTCAATACCGTAGAGGATGAGTTGCTTATGTCTCCCCGCAATGGAGATACTGTACTTCACTCAGCCATTCGGAGAGAGCATTATGGTAATAAGCGTCCTATACCAAAAACTTGTTTTCTCTCTCAAAAATCCCTCACACACCTTCCCATGCACGCATATACGTATATTCGTACGTAGCGATATCATATATGGTTTTAGTCTTCCAGTTCCTATTCATCCTTCTAGCGGTTTCTCTCCCATAATAATGTGTGTGTACACATACATAAATAAATATAAATATTCATCGTCATCTTAATTATTAACATGCAAATATATATGCAGAGTTGGCGTTCCACATAATCCGAAAATGCCCACAACTTACGGGCAAATGCAATGAAAAGGGAGTGACTCCTCTTCATATCCTGGTCAGCAAACCTTCTGCTTTTAGGAGTGGCTCCCACCTCTCGTGGTGGGAGGCAATCATATACCATTGTAAGGTTTTAATTTGTTTATCCTCAAACTCAACGAGTGTTTGTAAAAGCAACATGGATTAATGATTCATTTTCGGCGCTAGGTATAGCGGTAGATCAGCTGAAATATGATGATTCTCTTCCGACAACACCTTCGATCAGAAGCTCGGAATTTGAGTATAAACCAGACAACTACAAGACATGTTATCAGTTCCTTTCAATTTTGCGCTGTTGTGGTAATTTGTTAGAGCTGAATCTTGAGAGCGCATGTTACACCCTGAATCTCCTATATTTTCTTTGTCTTTTATCAGTACTTGAATTGAACCCTCTTATTTACTGTGTTAAAATCACTTTTCATTGTGAAAGTATTTAAGCGAAAATCACCGTTATAATAAACGTATTGCTAATGTGTATAAAAAAAATATTAATAATCAAAATCAAGTTTGCAAAATAAGTTGATTCAAACTTATCTTTGAGATACTCGTGAAATTATTTATTTACGATGTGTATCATTCATTTATTGGTGTTAAAATATGTGGGTGGCTTTGTTTGACATAATATTATCATGCGTTTATCATGTTGACAGGAAGAGTAATGGCAGGAAGTGATCCCGAGAACCATTATAACTCTCATGTCAAGGGAAACGTTCCACAAAATTATGCTACCTGCTTTCAGTTTCTATTCATGGTCCTGCAACATATATTTGGCGTTCTAGGATTTGGTATGCCACCTTCAAGTTTCATTTATTGATTACACACACCCTCTGTAATTCTTTCGATTAACTGAGTTTTCTGTGTGAATATGCTTATCAGGAAAAACAATTGAGGAAATAATAAATGCGAGACAAAAGCACACATGGAGTATGCAGATACTGGATGAACTAATGAGAGACACTGGGAACATATACATGACTGAAGGTGGAATTGACCCTGGCCAAGTGGATTTCGGATCATCAAACGATTCGCCTGAGGGACTTCCAGTTCCAGAGACATTTAGGAAAACTAAACAAGATAAGACAGGTAATTCAATTATTTAATTTTGAGTTTGTTACGATCAATATATAAAATAGAGAATCAAGAGGGATGAATTGGCATGGCAGGTGAGAACAAACATGAGACTCAAAGAACTGATACGCCCCTGTTGGTGGCAGCCCAGAAAGGAATAACTGAAGTAGTGGAAAAAATTCTTGAACGATTACCAGTCTCCATCCACGATACCTCATCGAAGAAGAAAAATATAGTGCTGGTAGCCGCGGAGAATAGGCAACCCGGAATTTTAGATTTACTAGAGACACACTTGAAGGACGTATTAAAGAAGCCTCAACTCTGGCAAGACCTCGTTCGAGCGGTGGATACTGACGAGAACACTATATTACACTTAGCAGCCAAGTACGACGAATCCAGGTCTCACCCTTGGCAAATTCATGGCGCTGCCATGCAGATGCAATGGGAAATCAAGTGGTACGAGGTAAATGCCCGCCTAGATATTTATAATCACTAGTAGTTTTTTTTTTAAAAAAAAAAAATAGTTCGTCGATATTGAACTTGAATGTTTGCAGCATGTGAAAGCATTTCCGCCATCCCACTTCATTTTCCTTCCCAACAACGAAGGCGAAACTCCGGTACAGATCTTCGATAGAGATCACCGCAATCTTGTCAAGAGCAGCAGCGACTGGCTTAAGGATACGTCTGAATCTTGTTCCGTGGTGGCTGCGCTGGTTGCGGGAGTTTCCTTTGCAACCTCGAGCCAAGTCCCCGGCGGCACCGATGAGGAGACTGGGAAGCCAAAACTAGAAGAAAAGCCTGCGTTTGAACTTTTCGCTGTAACTGCGCTTATTGGGCTCTGCTTCTCTGTTACTGCACTGATCATGTTCCTTTCCATACTCACCTCTCGGAAACAATACAAAGATTTTAGGAGGAATTTGCCACTGAAGCTTCTTCTGGGCTTAAGCTCCCTGTTTGTGTCCATTGCCTCAATGCTCGTCTCTTTCTGCGCTGCGCATTTCTTCGTGCTTGAAGACAAATTCAAGAAAGGAGTGTTCCCTCTTTATGCCGCCACTTGTCTTCCTGTTTCCTTCTACGCAATCGCACAGTTCCCGCTCTACCTGGCTCTTTTGAAAGCCATTGTTAGGCATGTTCCCCAATCGCATCATTTTGGCCATTTTTTATGATTTTCACACGCATAAATATATGCTTTTAGCTGCGGAGTTTCTTTCTCATCTTCAATAAATGCTTTTCCTCCTACGATTGGAATTTGGAAAAGTAGCCGGTGTGTTATTTGTGCTTTGTTTTCTCCAGGGGGTTTTATTACGCACCCCCATGTGATCAACCTCAGAGAATTAATGTATCTGTTTCGTTGTTGGTTTTAATTTATGTTTAGCTTTACGCTACTTTTAAATCATGAGATCCAATATTTTTTTATCAAGATTAAGTAATTCAAGGTTTGTCAACTAAAGTCAATTTAATTGTCAAATGTGTTGTAAAAACATCTGTATTAAATGAATAATCTGTAAGTATGCTTTGAGCCTTAAAATTTACCCTTGCTCAGTTAGTACTTAGTATGCGAAACCCAATTTATACAAAATCTAATTAAAAAAGAAACTCTACATACATAAATATAAATGAAGTAGTTCATCGTCTCTCCTTAAAACTGTTTAAATTAATTTTAAATGATCGATATTATTTCTTTACCTTTGATATATATTATTTTTAAAAAAATTTAAAGTTGGTATTTTAGAATTTCATTTATAAATAATGTGTATTTTATCTAATATGAAAATTAAAACGTTTTAAATAAGAAAAAATATTCAAATGAAGAAAAATGCAGGTTAATTTGGAATATAATCTATTTTCTATTACTGTTTAAATTATTCAAAAAGAAATGAGCACAATACCAATTGATGCCCATGACACATTAGAAAATCAAAGAAGATGATCGATCTGAAAAAGGTCTAGTGTTCCTTTCTCAGTCCTGCTGCGCATATTCTGGTTTGCTAGCTATAGGCCTCTCCCCTCTCAGGCCCAATACATACTCCATTAATAACTTGCGTAAACTTCTTAGGTATGATAACTCTAAAGCCCGTACTTGCGTAAACTTCTCAGGTATGATAACTCTAAAGCCGAAAGTAATAGAGTTGCTGATGCGCTAGCCAAGAAAGGGTTATCTGAATCCTCCTTCTTTGATGTTTGCCCGACCATTCTAAGGGCAATTGTGGAAGCTGAGAAACTGGGAGCTAGTCCCCACTTATTCTAGTTTTTTTCCTTTTGGACTTTGGTCCTCTTTGTTACCAAAAAAAAAAAACTCTAAAGCCCGTAATTATATATATGATTATTATTTGAAAAATTTATTTCGAAGGGACCTATAATTTTTTTAATTTTTAATTCCGTGTATTTTTTTTCCTTATCAAATCTTCAATTTTACTCTTCTAACAACATTAATCTCTGTAACTTTTCTCTATTAACTTTATTAGATCATTTACAAAAACTAATTGTGCTAATAAGATAAAATTAAATGATTTAACATGGAAAGAAAAACTCATAAGTATCAAATTAAAAAATTTTAAAAAATAACTATCTCAAGAATAGTTTCCCTTGTTATTCACACGAGATTTATAAGATTTAGGAGGTCGATAATTTCCTTTTCCTCTCTTTTTTTTTTCCTTCTCAAAATCTTGTCACTATATACCTACATGAAAAAATAGATAGTTTAAATGTAATATGTTCTAAAACCATTATTCTAATATTTTATAAATTAAAATTTTTGTGCATGTCAAATTTTAATACTTTAATTTTATATATTTATATTTATAATAATTTTATAAAATATTAAATCTGACGAATCATTATCTGTTCGATCTAAGGATAGATATGAGATTTTAAAAAAAAAAACAGAAGAAAAAAAAAAGAGAATCACCGTACCCCCTTATTTACTTTAATTTTGCCAAGGCCTTCCTTTTCTTTAATTACTCTAATCACTTTTGATTTCTTTTCTCTCCTAACACAGAACAAAACCGCACGGAATTATTTCATCAGTTCTCACATATATAATCCGTTCTCTTTCTTCTTTTTCCTCTTTAAAACTTGATGACATTTATACATTTTTCAACCGCATCGACCTTATACTTGTCGTGCTTATTATTATTTCCTTAAGCTTGGTCGTCTGCTCTGCAGTTAGAGGGAATTAATCCGTTGGTGGTTGTGATTTTGTTGATTGAAGAACGAAATATTCCCATTTGAACTTAAAATTAAAAATTGATTTAGATAAATCACATCGCTATCAAGACTTTTTCATATCATATGCCATCTGTCTGTTTTGTTCATGTGATGTAGCAAACAATAGCGTTAATAAGATAAACAGATGGGGGGGTTTGAGTAGAAAAACAAAAACTCACAAAGGTATATAATTTAAACTTTTAAAGACATAGGAGCTATTTGCGTAAATTGAAATAAACTCTCAAAAATATGCCTGATATTATATATTTAAAGCAAAAATGATACTATTACTTATGAAGCCTATTTTTCATTATTATTTATTCAATGCTCTTGCTCCCGCCATTCATCCCTGAACAACACAATTTTTTTTGGGCCAGAGAATAACACAAAATATACAATGATTTTTGTAAGGGGATGGGTAAGAATTAAGAAATATTAGTGGCGACCAACAGAAATTTGGGGGCTTGTTTTTCATAACGCGGTAATTAAGATTTGAATTTCGTTAAAAAAAAAGTGTTCACACTTACCACCAAATACTTATTATTTTATTATTATTAGTTGTTAAAATGTGTATTTGTGTTTGTAAATTTTTATCAACATTAACATGAAAAAACCAATTGCCAGCAAAACTTCATATAAATAAAGATTTTGTGCTTTTGTGAGATCTTAGTGGAATTTTCCAATGAGTTAAATTTTTTAAAAACTGTACAATAATGGACTCAGTTTGGGTGCTTATCACTCTTGATAAACATCCAAACTCATCAGGTCTGAACCATCAGGTGGCCATCAATCTTAATTCGCTTCTCCCTTCCAAGGTTTTGGCTGCTATTCAACTTATTACCTCAGCAATGAAGAAAAATATAGTGCAGTGGAGAATAGGCAACCCATAATTTTAGACGCACTTTACCCACACTTAACCGTAATATTTAATTATTCAAGACCCAACTTATCTAAATTTTTGTAATGAAAAAAAGGAAAGCTTATACATAAATATAAATGAAGTTTAAAAAATGGCAATCGAGAAGTTCGTTTATAAATAATATTTCTCCAATTGTTAACGGGTAATCTATTATTAAAAGCAATCCAAAGAACAACTCTAGTTCTCTCTGCTCCTCTCCATTTCCAAATAGCCTTGTAGGTTGAACTATAAAGATTAGGAGGTGGGTTTTCAATCATATAATAAGTGTTTTCAGTAGTGAAATTACCATGAGAATGAGACACCAAGCCATCACGTCATGTCCGGCTTTAGGAATAGGAGGGAGAATTGAGATGAGCTGTTGCATTACTTCTCTTTTCACTATTTGAGCAAGAGGTGTGAAATCCCAAGAATTATGCACCACCCAGATAGCCGCCGTACTTGAGAACTCTGGCGGAATTAGCTGTCTGATGCATAAATCTTTAATTTTCTTTTCATGAAAGAGCCAGCAGTGATTGAAAAAATTGAGAGATTGCCCATTACGTATTTCCCATCTTGTACGGCTTGCCCTACAATCTCTTTTTGTTGACATATGAATTTCCACAACTTAAGAGTCACCTTGCATCACATTCAGCCGATTTTCATCACCTCTCATAATGTATTTATGCAGCAAAACTTGAGCCCACAATCTATTAGAACCAGGAACTAAATTCCATGCAAGCTTCACACCCATTGCTTGATTAATTGAAGTTTGCTTTTTGAAACCAAGCCCTCCATAATTCTTTGGTTAAATAATTCTTTCCCAGATCATAGGATGAAAACTGTGGTTGTTCTGCACTTTTCCCCAAATAAAATTTCGTTGCAATCTCTCAACTTCGTCGCACACAGTCACAGGTAACTTAGCCACTTGCGTAGGACACAAAGGAATAGTGTTTAAGACTGTTCTTGCTAGAGTAATTCTTCCAAAACTAGATAAACAATCAGATTTCCAAGCTAATGATTTATTCTTGACTCTATCCACAATGTATTGAAAGGTTTCTTTATTCCTTCTATTATCAGTAAGGGGAAAACCGAAGCACCTTGCAATTTTAAGAAGATCTTCATACCTGTTATGTCTTTCAACTTGCCTTTCCAAGTAGCAGGAACTTTTGGAGAAAAGAAAATAGAAGATTTAGCCTTGCTAACTTTCTTCCCAGAGGCAGGGCATAAAATGTCAAGACACTTCATCATGCATTGAGGTTGAGTTTCAGTTGCCTCTCCAAAGAGAATGCTCCTTTTCCTTGTCAATCAAGCTGAATCCGCTGCGCTCTTTGCCTTTCTTGGAAAGTCGGCTGCTCACATTAAGTAAGTTGGATTAGCTAAGCCCAAAGACATTAGGTCGATTGGACGGGCTGGGATAGGGTGGGTTTTGTCGGTAACACTTTGAGTTGGACCAAGTCCACTTATGCACACATTTCTTGGCTGAAAATGAGGCCGAATAGCATAGCACGTGGGCCATCTCTTGGGATCTAATCAATTGTTTCTGAGAGAAGGGATCTAATCCATCAATAGTACAATGATCTAATCAGTTTCTGCTTTCAATTTGTTTGAGTCTGCACGTATGATCCTATGCTTCTTGGCCTGTGCACCTGCTGACGTCGCTCCTTGTATATTCATCGCCGACATTGACGTCGAGATCGGGGAGGAGAGAATCAACCGGGAGAAGTTGAGGGGAGAAATTCTTGCATACATCAAGTGTATCGCTTAATTTAGGCACTGGCCAGTAATATTTTGACAGTTTCTGGAATTTTTATCCTCCATGTCAGCCCACATGTTATTTCTTCCCTTTCATTATTTAAATAATTTTTCAGTAATATGTGTTTTTTATTCTCTCTCTCCCCTCTACCCTCTCTCCCATCTGCAAATTCTTTTTCAAAACTCCTCCCTCCGCTGTTACCGCCACTCCTCCCATCTCTCTTTCCCCCACCACACCACTCTCTCTCTTTCGTCTTTCCCTCCCCAGTCCCCTCATCCCCTCCATCTCTCTCTTATATGCGATCTTGTCTCAGCGAGGCCCTGTGGAGGTTCTGATACATCACCCTTCATGAGCTTGTGGGTTTCACCACTTATATCTTTTCTCCTCTCCATCTCTCTCTCTCATAAATGGTGTCTGATTTGTTTGGAAAATATGAAAAAGAAAGAGAAGCTTC